GTGAAAATGCCGCCGGAGATAGAGGGAGTAGTTGCCAAGTACCCTGATCTATTTGAAGAGCCAACAGGGGTTGTTGATAGGGAGGTCGTCCACGCGATAGAGATTATCCCTGGGTCTAGTATTCCGAAGGGTAGGATCTATCGGATGTCTCCAGGCGAGCTTGATGAGCTTCGCCGCCAACTCAAGGAACTTATAGAGAAGGGTTGGATCCGGCCGAGTGTCTCTCCTTACGGATCTCCAGTACTATTCGTACCTAAGAAGAAAGAGGGCACTCTCAGGATGTGCATTGACTATAGGGGCCTCAATGCCATCACTGTGAAGAACAGAGAGCCCCTACCGCACATCGACGATCTGTTAGATAGAGTGCAAGGGTGTCGGTACTTCAGTAAGATAGATCTGAAGTTCAGATACCATCAGATTGCCATCCGGCCCGAGGATCAACACAAAACTGCATTTCAGACCAGGTATGGTCTGTACGAGTTTGTGGTGATGCCTTTTGGCCTTTGCAATGCTCCTGGCACCTTTCAGCACGCTATGAATCGGATATTCCATGACTACTTGGATAAGTTTGTCGTTGTGTACCTCAATGACATACTTATTTTTAGTAAGACTGTCGAGGAGCACGTTGCGCACTTAGACAAAGTTCTCGGTCTCCTGCGACAGCACAAGTTCAAGATCAACGGTGAAAAGTGCGAGTTTGGTCGCAACCGTATCTTGTACTTGGGTCATAAGATCTCCGCGGAAGGGTTGAAGCCYGATGACGCGAAGGTGGCCAGCATTCGTGATTGGCCGCGACCTCAGTCTGTGACTGAGACGAGATCTTTCTTAGGAATGACAAGTTACTATAGGACTTTTGTTAAGAACTATAGCATAGTGACCGCTCCTTTGACTGATCTGACTCGCCTTGACACCCCGTGGGAGTGGACAGATAAGTGCGAGGCTGCTTTCAGACATTTGAAGCATGCACTAACGCATTATGAAGTCTTGAAACTTCCGGATCCTGATAAGCCGTTTATAGTAACCACGGATGCTAGCCAATATGGCATTGGCGCCGTGCTCGCGCAGCAGGAGGGGCCAAAGTTGAGGCTTGTTGAGTACATGTCCAAGAAAATGCCCTCTCAGAACTTGGCTAAGTCCACCTATGAGAAAGAACTCTTATGCGGTGTTCAAGGCGTTGATCCATTGGAGACACTATTTCCTTGGGAGGTTCTTCATCCTCAGGACTGATCATCAGACCTTGAGATGGATGAGAACCCAACCTGTACTCTCTGACGCATTGAAGCGTTGGATAGAAGTCATTGAGCAGTATGACTTTGACCCTCAGTACATTAAGGGTGCCTTGTTGCGTAGACGTGACTTCTCAGGTGCGCTGATTATTGAGTACGGTCTTACGGATGATGTCACTCGATCCTTGGTGGAAGCCTATCAAGAGGACCAGTTTATGGCTGAGATCATACGCAGACTCGAGGCGAATGATAAACAAACTTCAGCCGAGTTTGAGTTGGTCAATGGCTTGCTGTTTCTCGAGAAGGAAGGGAATAAACGTTTGTGTGTCCCTAATAAAGAGTCTTTGCGTAGTTTGTTTTTAGGCGARTGTCAYGAYKCCACCGRCCATTTTGGGTACAAGAAGACCGCAGCCAATTTGCTGCAAAGGTTCTGGTGGCCCACGATGTTAAAAGATGCTAAGCTGTACGTGGAAACTTGTCAAGTTTGCCAACGAGACGAGCCCCGTACTCAGGCTCCTCTTGGGCTAGTCAAGCCCCTTCCGATTCCAGAAAGGCCGGGTGAAAGCTTGTCCATGGACTTCATGGATACACTGGTCACCAGCAAGAGTGGGATGAGGCAGATCTTCGTCATCGTGGATAGGTTTAGTAAGTATGCTAGGTTAATAGCCATGCCGGAAACATGGAAGACCGAGTATGTAATCAAGTTGTTCAAGGAGAACTGGGTGAGGGATTTTGGATTGCCTAAGTCTATTGTAAGTGACAGGGATGTCAGATTTACAAGTGAGTTATGGAAGGCCGTTGCAGCTGAACAGGGAACTCAACTGCAAATGAGTTCTGGAAACCATCCAGAAGCAAACGGCCAGGCGGAACAGATGAACCGCGCTGTTCAACACCTGTTGAGGCATTACATTAAGCCCAATCAGGTGGACTGGGACGAGAAGCTTGCTCTTGTCGCCAGTCTGTACAATAACGCTGTACACAGCGCTACCGGGGTAAGTCCTAACAGTCTACATCTTACCTTTAGGCCTAGACTGCCTTTAGACTTCCTACTTCCTGATAACCAGCCAACTGTTACACCGGGCACTTTGGAGTTCGCTTATCGTTAAGAACAGAAAATGCAGGAGGCTGTAGAGCACATGCAGAAGGCGCAGGCAGCAATGATAGAATCTGAGAATAAACACCGCCGCCCTTCTACATTTCAGGCTGGGGACAGAGTTTGGGTCAAGTCTTCAGAACTGGGACAGGAGTTCGGGATATCCCGCAAACTCATGCCTCAGTACTTTGGACCTTGGGAAGTTTTAGGCGAAGTAGGGACAGATCCTGATAGTCCATCTTATGTCATCCGTACCCCTGGTCATCTCAGAACTTACCCAGTCTTTCACGCCTCTAAGCTCGCTGCGTCCAAGGAAATTGATCAGTTTCCCTCTCGTCGGTCAATGCTGCCCCCAACCATGGACGGAGAAGTCGACATCCATGATATCGTTGACCACAGGGAGATGCCCGTTCAGAAGCCTCCAGGAAGGGGACGTCCTCCAAAGCCAAAGCTGCAGTTTCGTGTCCACTTCAGACATCACACGGATCCGAAGGAGGACCGCTGGTTTACCCGGGAGGAATTGATGCAGACCGCTCCTCAAATCGTTGCGCGCTATGAGAAGGATGTATTGAAAGGAAAGCGCTAGATGGCTCAGGATTGATCTTCGCAGAGGACTAACGAAGATATGGAGAAGGGAATGCGAGGCTACGCCCGCTCAACCCTTTTTGGTGCCCTTTTGCAACACGTCGGCCGCCCTAAGTGAAGGCAGGCGCGACAGGCCCTCAGGGCCTCGATTTTTAGGATACCCCGCAATTGGGGAAATTCAGACAGTTGCGCTGCGCCAGTTGGTTGAAAGCGCCCAGGCCTAGGCCATATTTTGCAAATATATTTGAACGGTGACCTGGGCCAGACGTGTGAGGAAGGTCGTAAGCAGGCCAAGGGCAGTTGGGCACATGCAACCATCAGGCCCTGGGCCTGCGTGTGAGGTATGGGCCTGTGCCTACCGGGGCCTACCGGAATCTTCTCGGGAAAGGCCAGACACCGTTTGGGCAGAACAAGGGCAGGCCACTTCCATAAAGCAATGGGCCTGCCTCCGCATTTGGCATTCGGGTGTTGGCTGCATGCTGCGCGAGCGCTGCTACGCTATTTGCTGGCTGGCTGGCACTCACGCTCTCACSGGCGAGCAGGAAGTAGCGGGCAGCCATAGCCGAGCTGCTCCGCTGTGTGCTGGGTGTGACGCAGGGTGGTCCTTGGGTGCTAGTGGCATCTGTGTGGTGTGGATCGGGGTTGCGAGTGTTGCGAGAGACATACCTGGTGCTGGAAGTTGTGCTGGAAGCGTGCGGCATTGTCCGCTGTATGCTCGTACTTCAGGAAGTTGTTGTTGTCAACATCGGCATTGTAGTATTAGGCTAGATAGGATCTGCCATATGTAGTCTGGGCGCCGAACGCCAATAGGATATCAACTCTTGTTCTTCGTTGATGATGATGAGAGACTATTTCAGCATTGTCAATTACGAGCTATTGGTGTGATCTTATTTGGTGAATCTCGTGATGCATTTCTGTTGTTGGTTCGAGGTCAAGACTATTTGGACTCATATGTATGATGCTGTTTGATTGCTGGAGTTCGCTAATACTCATCTTCCTCGCAGATGTTTCCTTCCGAAACGGAGGAAGTACCGGTTGCTTGAAGAGGCCGAGCGGCCTGAAAGTCACCGCCCAGGAGGCAAGTAGGCCGCTATATCAAGAGGCATTGCGGAGAGCCCAGCCTCATTCTTCAGTGTGCGAGTTGGGCGTCACGCTGCTGGAGCGCTAGGTGGAGTAGCGTTGGGCACTACAGCGCTGCTGGGAGGAAGAAGCTGGGAGCTTCCACCTTGGCTATGGTGGAGCTCCACCAGTAGGAGGAGGAGGGAGAAGGGGACCAAGGAGGAGAGTGGCGAGGTACTTACTGGCTATGGTAGACACCATCTTCATGGACAGGAAGGCCCCAGTGGGGGTAGTGCCGCGTCAAGGAAGCTCGGGACAGAGTCAGGCATGGTGGCTGAGTGAGGAGCGGCATAGCTGCATGGTGATGACCTTGAAGTGAGGCAGCGGCATAGCTGCTTTGAGTGGTCCTTTGGACAGGAGGCTGGAGCCTCAGCAGTCCACCATAGCCTCGGCCTGTATGTAGAGGAAGAGGAAGGGTTGCCATGGCTATGGTGGACCTCATCTTGTGCCTGCAGTGGAAGTGGGATTCGGACATTGATTCTGGTTCAGTTGTTCAACATTATTATTGTTTATTTATTGTTTGAATAAGAGAGTAGGAGATAAAGAGGAGGAGGTTGTTGAGCGAAGAAGAAGAGCTTTGTTCTTTCTTAATTCTTCTTCTTCTTCTTTCCCTCTCTTTCCTCTCAAGTTCTTTCATTTCTTTTGCAATTGGACGGCATTGGGCTCAAGTTAAATTTTTTTCTTTTGGCAATTGGACATCATTGTACTTGCTGATGATTGTGGACTTCGAAATTGGCCAGGATCGTAACATTGGTATCGGAGCGGATTCTACTTGTTGGCGAGAGTTGACTTTGCTGACATAACCCTAACCCTAGTGGTAAGGGCTAACCACTTAGGGTTAGGGCTGGATGTTAGGGTTAAGTGGGGCAGCGTGGTAAAGGGAAGCTGCTCCCACCTGGCAGGGCCGTGTAGGGTCGACACTAGACCCGGCCAGGTTGCTTGAGTGCATGTTTGTGGTGGCGAGACACAAGGTGGGACTTCGTGATGCAATTTGAGAGAGGCGACAGTGAAGGGCACCTACAACTTGAATTTGGACTTAAAGGAAGACGAGGAGTGACTTTAGGGCTCCCCTCAAGTAGGCGAGCTTGAGGGTGGCAGCCATATCTGCACCTACGGACTGCAAGTTGCTGCTTTGATCTTCAACATTGACGGGGGATCCGACTGTGTACTTTGGGGCAGATGTTGACCCTTCTAGACGATAGGACACTAGTGTAGAGGATGCTGATTGGGTCAGGAGGACTATGTGAGAGGGGGGTGAGTTTTTCATCTCAAGAGCCCGGCCACTCAGGTAAGTGTCGTGCCATTAGGGTGCCCATGTGGGTGTGCATGGAATTGACTGCCTGTTGGGGTTCTCTGGTTCTTCTTCCATCCTCCATAGTCTTGATTGTGTGTAAGGTGTGTGAACTGCCTACTACCTGACGAGTGAATGAATGGAGTATCTTGTTTGCCATTTGATATCTCTCTACAATGCTTTGTTTATTTCATTCTGAACGGCTGTAGTCTACAGGTTCTTTCTGGGGCAAAATTTTGTTTTTCAATCCAGTAGGGACAGAGTAGGTCACTGTGGAACTCTTGTTGGTTGGGACCCGGTTCTGAATCCACTGGGACCAATTGGGACTCAGTGGGACCGGGCCCAAACAAGAAGGGCCCCTTAGGCCAAATCTGTTGACGTCAGTTACCTTGCTCTATCTGATTGGAATACGGACTTTATGCTTTCGGACCAGAACACTCGCTGCAGAGGGGATTTCCGCTGGGACGTTTTATCATACTTTACCGCACAGTCCGCCGCCTGACTCGCACCTTATACACCACTCAATTGTCTCTTGCATTTCGCTGTACATCTTGAATCTGGTTTGTTGTGTTTTCACGGAGCTGAGGCTGGCTAGGCATGGGAGGACCCCATACGTAGTCAGTCCAGATTGTGTGGCTGGATCAGATCTCTCTGATCTTCTTTTTTGTTGTTTTAATGACTGCTCTCCAGTCCAAATGAATTGCCGCTCCGGCTAGGAGTTCTACCTTCTCTTCTGACTGATTTCAAACTATTTCTTCCATTGGGTTCTTTAATGCTTGCGTCTACACGATCGCAAACGAGAGAGAGAGAGAGAGAGAAGAGAGAAGCTTCAAAGTGTTGCTCTTGAGGGAGTGAGGAGAGGGAAGAGTAGTGTTCGTCCCAGGCAAGTGAGGAAGTACGGACCCCTCTTGAGAGACTTATTGACACCCTCATCCTCCATCATGGCATCTGCAGCAGATTGGAAGCTGCAAATGGACGCTGCCCCTGTGGCATAGAAAGCGCAGTACCGGTTCTTCTACGAGAAAGCATTGAAGAGGAAGGAGAGGGAGGAGAAGGTAAAGGCTCATGAAGCCATCTTTTGTACCTTGCCTGCCCTGACCGATGAGGAGGTGGAAGAGAAAACCGTTCCACTCCTCCCGGCTTTGGTGGATGTCCGGACTGTTGAGGACCACACTGGCCAACTCGCCAAAGTGTTCTACGAGCTCAAGAAGTTGCGCGAGGACATGGCCCTAATGGCGCAGTAGCACCGTGACCAGCTGCAACAGCTTGCTAATGTGCGGCCAGCCCAAAGCACCCTTTCGTCTACCTACCCTGCTGCTAGTGCTGCGTGTCAGTCTGTTTTTGCCCCTCTAAATGTGTCTTCTTCTACTTCTTCTTCGTCTTTGAGTGTGGCTAACAGCCAATCCGGATCTGCAGCAGGTCCAGACCCCGCTGCTGCGCTGCTGCTGCAGCGGCAAGTGGTGGTGCAGGGAATTCTGGAACTGTTGCAGCCCCGGGCCTGGACCCAGCAACGGCTGGGCTAGGCGGCAACTTTGCTTACATCGACAGGAAGGCGGCGCAGATTTCGTCCAAGTATGACAGAAAGGACGACATTGAGTCTTGGATCAGCTCCATGCGATCCTACTTTGATGTGTTGGGGACACCCTCGTCCACCCAGTCGTCTATCATGGGGACTAATGTGGAGCCCGTCGTGAGAGGTTTCCTAGAAACCCAAGCTGTCCAATCAGGCTATAAAAGAATAGACATGAACAAATGGTTGAAGGCCATGCCTACCACCACTCTCGAGGACCTCTTGATTAAACAGTATGCTGATCCACATGCTGCAGCTAAAGCAAGACTCAAGCTTGACAATCTCAAGCACAGCAAGTGGACTTGCACCATGCACAGCCTGCAGCAGTATGTTAGTAAACTCTTTGTTACTCCGGATTTGGAGATGACTGCGCAGTCCTGTCTGGATGTGATAAAAGGTACGGTCCCCTCTACTCTAAACGATCGCCTGGGGCTCGGGCTCAGCGGATATACAGATTGGCTTGCCCTCATGCGGGACTTAGTCAAGCTGGAGGCACAAGACCTCCCGGGTGGATCAAGTGGCAAAAAGGCCACCAGCAGCAAACGGTTTCCAGGCAGCAACCGTTTTGGAGCACATGATCTGCTTGAGGCTGACGAGGAGACCCTCGTGGATGAATCTTCTCTTGATGACGATCAAGAGCAAGACTGCGGGGCATCTTGCTCTTTGTCAGCCCACGAGTCTGAGAATGTAAATGATGAAGAGTCTATGAATGCCTTTAAAAAGACTGTCTTTAAAAGTAAGGGACCGAGGACCACGATGAAGAACAACACTAACACTATCCTTCTTCCCAAGGGAGCAAAGATTCCACCAAAACCGGAAGATCCTGCCACAAAACCATGGGTAGGTCTTCGGATTAATGAAAGTGAGTGGAAGAACAGGGTGAAGAGAGGAGTTTGCCTGCATTGCACCAAACCGGGACATTCAGTCCAACAATGTTTCAGATTGCAGCAGGGAAACCAGCAACGGGGGTAGAGGCATCATCAGCACACTCTACGCAATGCAATTCTGCAAAAAGTGGTGCAGGCGCAAAGTTGATGAGCAAATGATTCCGCTTTGCATGTTGTTTCTACTTCTGAGGCAACTACTTCTACCTCTACTAAATCTACCTCTAGTCCAAATGATTCCACCTCCAATCCTGTTGTGTTGGCTGCACCTATGCAATCTGGTATGCTTGCACCCCAGAGTGATGATCCACCTCCGGAGATCCCATCAGAAATTCGCAACCTTCTCAACCGATTTCCAGAAGTCTTGGCCGCACCGCATGGAGTTCCCGTGCGTCCGGTCCGACACAAGATCGAGTTGATTGAAGTTAGCACTCCTCCAAAGGGTTGTGTCTATCGTATGGGCTCAGGCGAATTGGAGGAGTTGCGACGGCAGATTGATGATATGATTGGGAAGGGATGGATCAAACCAAGTGAGTCTGAGTTTGGTGCACCGGTGCTGTTTGTCCCTAAGAAAGGAGGTAAGCTGCGGATGTGTATTGACTACCGCGGATTGAATAGAATCACAAGAAAGAATGCATATCCTTTGCCACGTATCGATTATCTGCTCGACGCTGCAGGCGGGTGCAAAGTCTTCAGCAAAGTCTGGCTACCACCAGATTGAGGTCGAACCTGCAGACCAGCACAAAACTGCATTCAAAACTCGCGATGGGCTATACGAGTTCACAGTCATGCCCTTCGGTCTCATGAATGCACCAGCCACCTTTCAAAGTCTCATGGATAAGGTGTTTCGCAATCAGATCAACTGATTTGTTGTTGTATATCTGGATGACATACTAATCTTCAGCAAATCGATGGAAGAGCACATGAGACACCTTGAGGAAGTGATGCAGATCCTCAAGGACGCGCAACTCCATCTCAACTTGGAGAAATCTGAGTTTGGGAGGGATAGCGTTATCTACCTCGGACATCGGTTGTCTGTTGCAGGCCTAGAGCCCGAGGCAACCAAAGTTGAGGTCATCCAAAAATGGCCCCAACCTGCGAATGTCCGCGAGCTGTGTTCTTTTCTTGGTCTTGCGTCATACTACCGTAAGTTTGTGCCAAAATTCTCTATTATCGCTCGTCCGCTGTCTAGACTAACAAGCAAGAATGTGTCCTACGCATGGAATGAAGAGTGCACGACAGCCTTTGAAGCACTGAAGGAGGCTTTGGTGAGTCATCCAGTGCTCCGCATTGCAGATCCCAAGCTTACATTCGTAGTAACTACGGATGCGAGTTTGTATGGGATTGGTGCGGCGCTGCAACAAGACGATGGTGATGGCTTACGTCCGCTTGAATATTACAGCAAACGCATGCCCAGTCACAAGGTAGCCGCTTCCACCTACATGAGAGAGCTCTATGCCTTGAGAGAGGCACTAGACCACTGGAAACACTACCTCTTGGGTCGCCATTTCAAAGTGTTCTCAGATCATGAGACTTTGAAATGGATTCAGACACAAGTTAACCCATCAACCACATTGACCCGATGGCTGCATGAGATTGATGTGTATGATTTTGAACTCAAACACAAGAAAGGCTGCTATAATCGTGTTGCGGATGCTTTGTCTCGCCACCCCGAGTATATGACTTGCCTTGTGGGTTCCTACGAACTGCGTAAAGATCTGAAGGAGGAACTCATCGAGCATACTGCCAAGGACCCGAAACTCAGTCCCATCCTTGAGCAGATTCAAGTTGACCCTAGCAGTCAGCCTGATTTCCATGAATGTAAGGGCCTTCTCTTCCGACGCTACGGGAAGCATGACCGGTTGTGTGTACCCAACCATGAGCCGATCCTCACTCACTTTTTGGACTTGGCCCATGGCCGGAGTGGACACTTCAGTGTTGAGAAGACATACGAAAATTTGTTGGAAAAGTTTGTGTGGCCTGGAATGAAAAGAATGGTGCAAAGGTTTGTGGCTGAGTGTGAAGTCTGTCAACGCATTAAACCGTCTCGACAGAAGCCCATGGGTTGCTGCACCCTCTTCCTATCCCTGATGGCTCGGGTGAGTCTGTTTCCATTGACTTCACGGACATGGGGAAGAAGAGCAGAAACGGTTCACAAGTAATGGTGATCGTTGATCGGTTCTCGAAATTTCTGAATTTGATTCCCTTGCCACCTCACGCCCCAACTGACCTTGTGATCGATGAGTTCAACAAAAGGTACGTTCTACATTATGGCCCCCCGAAAACTCTTGTGAGTGATCGGGACACTAGGTTCATAAGTGCGGACAAGAAAGATTTCACCTCCAGACCTACGATATGAAACTCAAGATGACGTCTGGGCGACATCCCGAAGCCAATGGACTGGCTGAGGAGTCAACCAGACCGTGATCCAACTTCTCAGGGCTGTAATTGTACCTGATCCGAACTCTTGGGATGAGGAATTGCCGATTGTGCAGGGGTTGTACAACAACTCCATCCACTCCTCCACCGGGATGACGCCTAACCGGCTGCATCTTGGATGGAAAATCCGCAATCCTCTATCTTATCTGTTCCCTGATCAGCCACCTGGCCAGCCAGGTTACAGCTCTAAGTTTGATCGCCTGCTCAAAGTTGTTGTCGCAGCTATGGAGAGGCGACGTAGTGCCATGATTAAACATGCTAACAAAAAGCGCCAGCCTGCACCATTCACAGTGGGAAGTTATGTCTGGGTCAAAATGTCTGAGTTTTCTGAAGAGGAAGGCGTGTCACGAAAGCTTCTTCCTCAGTACTACGGTCCGTGGAAGGTATTGAACCAGGTAGGGAGTAATTCCTTTGGCCCTTCGTATACGATCGATGTGCCTGCTCATCTGCGCACATATCCAGTCTTTCACGCATCGAAGTTGTTTCCGTATGAATCACCTAAAACGTTCAAGTATCGAGAATCAATGATTCCCCGCGCAATCAATGGCGGTCATGAGGTTGATAGGATTGTCGAACACAGTGGGAAGGGAAGAAACAGACAGTACAAAATACATTTTTTGTACCATCCGTTGGATGATTTCTACTGGATTGCTAAGAAAGACTTACTACAGAGTGCACCGTGTGTCGTTAACGACTATGAACGATTGATCAGTTCAGAACAACAACCAAAATTCACTGCTACCCTCACTCCTACACAACACACCCGATCTCTCTTTGTTATCTTCGCCTACGATGCATTGTGCAAGGACTCTGATTGAGTTACTCGCTCGAAGGGACCTTGCTCTTGAGGGGGCAGTAGTGTAATGACCCGTCAAACACAAACTGAGAACACTGCTGATTTCTGAAGTTCTGCTGATGGAATGGATGCCTTGCTGAGATTCGCGCATTCTGCTGTGTGTGCGTGCTTGTGACCTGCATGCCTGTCTGAGTGCTTGTTGGTACGAGTGTGTGTGGGACCCACAAGGGTACTTGCTTGTTTGGTAGGCCCATAGGGCCGGTACTTACCTGTGGCCGTGGCATTGAGGGTTGTAGTAGGGAAAAACACTCAAGTGGCGAAGCTATCAGCCCTGAGGCCCTTGTGGTAGCGGAAAAACACTCAAGTAGGCCGGTAGGCCGATGCTGCACCCCACTGCAGTTGGCGTGAGGGGGTACTGGAGGCCGAGCAGAAAAAGACAAAGTTGGCATTTTTAGAGTCCAGTAGCGGTAGGGTAGGTCTAGGCCGGTACCAGTCCAACCAGTCTGAGTCTAAAGCCTGTACGGGTAATATCAGGGTCTGCAATGATGTTTCCCTCCGAAACGGAGGAAGTACCGGTTGCTTGGAGAGGTCGAGCGGCCTGGAAGTCACCGCCCAGGAGGCAAGTAGGCCGCTATATCAAGAGGCAGGGTGGAGAGCCCAGCCTCATTCTTCAGTGTGCGAGTTGGGCGTCACGCTGCTGGAGCGCTGTGCACTACAGCGCTGCTGGGAGGAAGAAGCCAGGAGCTTCCACCTTGGTTATGGTGGAGCTCCACCGGTAGGAGGAGGAGGGAGAAGGGGACCAAGGAGGAGAGTGGTGAGGTACTTACTGGCTATGGTAGACACCATCTTCATCTCCTTGCTAGGCACTGCATCAGGAAGGCCCCAGTGGGGGTAGTGCCGCATCAAGGAAGCTAGGGACATAGTTAGGCATGGTGGCTGAGTGAGCAGCGACATAGCTGCATGGTGATGACCTTGAAGTGAGGCAGCGGCATAGCTGCTTTGAGTGGTCCTTTGGACAGGAGGCTGGAGCCTCAGCAGTCCACCATAGCCTCGGCCTGTATGTAGAGGAAGAGGAAGGGTTGCCATGGCTATGGTGGACCTCATCTTGTGCTTGCAGTAGAAGTGGGATTCGGACATTGATTCTGGTTCAGCTGTTCAACATTATTATTGCTTATTTATTGTTTGAATAAGAGAGTAGGAGATAAAGAGGAGGAGGTTGTTGAGCGAAGAAGAAGAGCTTTGTCTTTGGACTATGCTGGAGTACATCATCTCTTTCTTCTTTCTTAATTCTTCTTCTTCTTCTTTCCCTCTCTTTCCTCTCAAGTTCTTTCATTTCTTTTGCAATTGGACGACATTGGGCTCAAGTTCATTCATTTCTTTTCGCAATTGGACACCATTGTACTTTCTTATGATTGTGGACTTCGAAATTGGCCAGGATCGTAACACTAGTTGCGCCATAGCTAACATGTGTGTATGCTACACTGTCACTTATGCAAGTTCAGTCTTTCTCTCACTTGGTGATGTACCGGTTCTTTCCTAGTAGTTCCATAACTCAAATGTGTGTATGTTGTAGATTCACTTGTGCAAGTTCAGTCTTTGCTCACTTGGTGATGTGTCGATTCGTTCCTAGTTGCTCCATAGCTTACATATGTGTATGTTGTAGATTCACTTGTGCAAATTCTGTCTTTCTCTCACCTGGTGATGTCTCGGTTCTTTCCTAGTTGCTCCATAGTTCAGATGTGTGTATGTTGTAGATTCACTTGTGCAAGTTCAGTCTTTCCTCACTTGGTGATGTGCCGGTTCTTTCCTAGTTGCTCCATAGCTCACATGTGTGTATGCTGTAGATTCACTTGTGCAAGTCCTGTCTTACCTCACTTGGTGATGTGCAAGTTCTTTCCTAGTTGCTCCATAGCTCACGTGTGTGTATGCTGCACTCTCACTTGTGCAAGTTCAGTCTTTCCCTCACCTAGTGATGTTCGTTTTTTTCCTAGTTGCTCCATAGCTCGCATGTGTGTCTGTTGCACTCTCATTTGTGCGAGTTCAGTCTTCCTCTCACGTGGTGATGTGCCGATTCCTTCCTAGTTGCTCCATAGCTCACATATGTGTATGTTCTAGATTCACTTGTGCAAGTTCAGTTTTTCTCTCACTTGGTGATGTACCAGTTGTTCTCTAGTTGCTCTATAGCTCACATATGTGTATGTTGCACTCTCACTTGTGCAAAGTTTAGTCTCTCTCTTACTTGGTGATGTGCCGGTTCCTTATAGTTGCCCCATAGCTCACATGTGTGTATGTTGG